CTTATCAGAAGACTAAAAGTCATAATTGCTCCTGAAATATAATCTGAGAAAGAGCTCCATAAAAGGGACTTGACTTTGTGCTGCAACCTTGCTCATTTTTCTCCTCTGACCTCATTTATTTTTTTCCAAAGTAGAACCTTTTCATGTTCTGCCCTGATCACCACACCAGTTGCCAATCTTCTTACAATGATGATTTGTTTCCGGAGTCACTTGATTATAAGGTAGTAAACACTAAAGACCCATTTCTGTAGTTTCCCATCAGCGTTCTGAGGTTTCATTTGGATACAAAACTGCAGAGTTTGCAAGCTGGGAAAACAAATACTAATCTGCCTTTGAACACCGTACATTTTGCAAAACATTTATGTAGGTCCAGGATGTTGTTATGCAGAATTATTGATACACACTGTACCTGCAGTATACTATACATTAAAATTTTTAAACCATTGCCACACCATCAACGCAGGAATGTTATTAGATATGTAAAGGATCAAGTACAATATTTTTCAGGTCTACAAAATCTTTGAAAGCTGAACTTGTTTTTCCAACTGAAATGAGATATTTTAAGGCTGAGTTCACATACATTGTGTACTAGATTAAATCATGGCAGAAATTTGATTACATTTTTAACAGTAGTGAAGAAAGAGCAGGGAGCACCTCAGTGGAACATCTCCAAATTAGCCACAGTGGGAAAAGAAAACATCTTGAGTGAATAACTGATAAATGATTGGACACACACACACACACACCCTCCAGCACAGAAATTTAAGTTCTCTGTGGCTCATAAACAAGAAATGCTTTCTAAGCTACCTCCACATTATAGAGCAAGTATACCAAGATGTCTGATGTTATGGTTCACCAGAACTGATTATTAGGAAACAGTTAAGGAAAGGGAGTTTAGTGAGTTGATAACTATCTGACTAATAGGAAATAATTTGTGACTCATAGTAGAATCAAATGACGACTGGACATTCCGGTCCTCGAATGGACCAACCCATCCACATAAACATCCTGCACAGCTCTTGCAAAAAGATTTCCATAGTATGTGAGGATCAAATTCTTATGGATTCTTGAGAACAACAGCAGCACTCCCCATGGACCCCTCCAGGGAAGAATCCATGCTGGACATCTCTCAAAGGAAAAATTAAGGAGTCCTGTTGGTGCTCGTGAGTCGTTTTGGTTCCCTTGCAGAAATCTCACAGTATGGTTGGATGGGGAGATTGGGGGGGGAGTGTTTATTATCGATTCTTGCCATAGCTACTTATGGCATAGTTATAAAAGCCCTTTTAATGCTACTAGAACGTTTGAAGAAAAACAAAGGGAGAAGTGGGTGTGTTGCATATTCTGAGTGTTGAGTTGGCCATTCAGGATCTGTCAGCCTGCGGAAAAGATAGTGAGCGATGAGATTAGTCCAAGGAAGCTTACTGCATGCAAAGAGGGGTACGCCTGCATTATTGTCAGCCCCCATGAAAAGTTGGATCTCCCTTGGGGTTTCTCATTACAGACAATGGCATTGTCAAAGACAGATTGTCAAAGAACAATAAGAGAGAGACTTGGATAAGGAGGTGCTAGGGGGAAGCCCGATAACCCTTTATATTAACAACAGGGCTTGACAGTCAGTTGAACATCTCTATTGTTTTTATTTCCCACTGGACGGTGCAGTGATGAGCAAGGCGTTTTTGCGGACAAGCGAAGGCCGTCCTTGAATCTTTCATCTCTCGTTCCCCGCACCATCTGATCGTGGCCACAGAGCGGCCAACAGCTTTCTAATTAAAGAAGGGTCTGGAAATTCAAGGCACGGCAGAAGGTTTCACCGCCTGGTCCCATTGCAAACCTAATGAAATAATTATACTGCAAGCGCAGGCAGATGTGTCACTGAAGTGGTTTCACTCACTGTTTCGCAGCAGGAAAAAAACCCCCGCAGAATTTGCTTTGGCAGGAACACTTGGAAATGGGTTTAATACACTTGGCAGGCACCTTAAAGGACTACTAAAGGAAATCAGCAAGATGAACTATTCGTCTCTATTTTAACAACTAAATTCTGGATGATGCAGATTAATGGGACCCCCAGTAGTGTGACTCACTGTAAGGCTTTTCTTTAAGATTCTTTACGGTTATCTCTTTGCTTGGAGTGCGTCGGCACTTCTTAACAGATGCCGTACACAGCACTCAAAGGATTCCCATCCTTAATGATCTGTCTGGACGCTGACTTGCAGATTAATGCAGGGAAGCACTCAGTCTCATGGTGATATGCACTTGTCTCTCAGAGCATCTGGGGACTGACATTGATGTCTTTATAGATTAAGTCAAAGACATGAACCAAGAGTCTCTGCGGCCCTTCTGACCCCCACCAGACCAAATGAACCCCTCATTTCCAAAGTGTCAGTCCCCATGTAGAACAATATCCTACAGAAAGAAGAAGATATACTTTAGATCGTCAGTTCCTCATAAAATGTTCATTTTGGCTTTTATTTAAAACGCAATTCATGGGGTTTTGTTAACTGAACTAGTTTGGTTACAGGTGCACAATCATTGGAATCAGGTCGAATCAGGTCACTTTCTGCAACTTTTTTCCCCCTTTCTAAAAGATTGAAAGAAAACACTCTGTACTTCTGTGTTCCAGGGAGAATAGCTCTTGTTTGCAAGATCCATTTGCCATTCTGTGATCAGGGCTCCATCTACTGTCTCAACACTTTTGATCTCCTTCCCAAAACATAAACTGTCGTGACATTTAATCTGATTCCTGGAGTGAAGGTGCCCTGTGCTTTATTAGAACCTTAAATGAATGTTAGATCACAAACAAAAAATTGTCACATGAGGGTCTGTCTTTTTGGCTTTTGTGCTCTTTGAGTTATACATGTGTACATCAAAGCCCTGGATGTGATAGTCTTACAAATGGGGAGGGTTACAAAACTGGTGAAAATCAGGATTTGACCGAGCGGTTTAGTCAATAAGTAAAATAATTATTCTATCCCCAAACTTCTAAGTGATTTCTAGCAACATACCCAAGTAGCTGGTATAATTAGAGGCATGGGAATTCTTCGTTCTGTGGCCCAGCTTTGTTGAGAGGAGTAACAGTCCAGGCACACTTGGTTAAACAAATATTTATTACAATGACAAAACACAAACTATGCTACACACAACATACAACACACAAGTTACTTTATGTACACTATTTACAAACAAGGCGTTTCAGAGGGCAAACATTCTGGTCACCCAGAAAACCCCAGACTGCTACTTAGCATTAAACTCTATATATTTAATACTGGGCGGTGTGGTGGCTCTGTGGCTAAGGATCTGTGCCTGTGGCTGGAAAATTGCCAGTTCGTATCCCGCGGCCGGTAGAGGAATCCTACTGTGTTGAGCCCCTGAGCAAGGCCCTTAACCCCAGCTGCTCCAGGTGTGCTTTATAAATGGGTGACCTTGCACTCTGTCCCCAAGCTTCTCTCCCTGTCTGTGTGTCTCATGGAGAGCAAGTGGGGGTCTGTGAAAAGACCAATTCCTAATACAAGAAATTGTATATGGCCAATAAAGTGATCTTATCTTATTTTATATGCCTACAGTACATAGGCCACACAAGAGATGAGCTGCCTTCTAACTAAATACAAAGCAACCTGCAGTTAAATCTCATTCTCTGCACCCCGGATGCCACAAAATAAGTGGGAGCCTATATCCCTGTCCATATAAAAGCACCCTAAGCAGGAAAGACGTTTCTAACCGAGGTATCTTTTACCCAGGAAACCCAAGTCTCCTAAAAACACAGAATAGCACTCTCTCTCTAGCGAAGTTCAAATGCTTAGCTCTAGTCAGGTTTGAATGACCACGAAGTAGGAGCTCTCGCCCAACACAAGCTTCAAGTCCCAACTCCTCCAGACTACTCTCTCTTCTCCTTCCCTGCCTCTTCTTTCTTCCTCTTCTCCTCTTGTGCTCTTAATGTCATCTTACTGTATATTGTATGTCTGCCCTGTTCCCTCCCAATCATTAATCCACAACTTACCTAGGTATACTAAGGTAAACTTTACAATGCTTCTGCGCAAGGGACCCACCAGACCTCAGGAAACATCCTCTCTGCTTTGAAGTGAGAAGTGTTTACTCCTCCCAGTGTCACAAACTTTATCTACAATCTAAGAGACACTTCTTAGTCACTAAAGCTGAGACAATATTGATTTTCAGCTAAGGTGCCTCCTACAAAAAGACATCAGATAGTACTTAATTCACAGTTGTTTTTTAAATGTACTTATACGATTTCACTGAAGTACATAATGGATAAATCAAAGAACTACTGTAGCGGAGCTTAAATAACTAGGCACTTTTGATTGTGTTGTACTTTATCTAAAAATACATCGTCGTTCGTCTTTGCTTTTAACTCCTTGTCAAATTCCACATTGAGAGCCATCACTGAAAAGATTAGCTGGTTCTTGTACAACAGAACGTGTTTTTATTCCAGTTTCAAAGGGTTTGAACCTTTAGCCATCTGTGTGGCTTATTATTTCAGCTCAATGTTCACAAAGCTTCAATGGAGACTTTAAAAAAAAATTGAGTCCATTGTAGAAGTTAAGGAGGGATGATAACCAAGTCACTTGTGCTCCATCTGTTCAAAATGTAACATATACCTCCCTGAGTATAACAGGGATCTCAGCCACCCGGTTTGAGGGAGGTCGCCTTTATCTCAGCCGGCACATTCCCTGTTGCGTGATGCTGGAAAGCCGGGTTCGACCCCAGGCAGTGAGGGATGAACTGTCAGGGCAGGAGCAGTGAGGGCAAAAACTGTTGACTAAATCATGATCACTCGCAACATAATTTCCTGAAAACTACTGTGCATACATCAGATGAAAACCTCTCTCATTGCATCAACCCTCCACCATCTCCTGCAGCTGCCCCCTGTTTCCCCGGGGGTCTCGGTCTACTTGTCCTGTGGCCAGGTTAAGCCCCCAATAACCATCTAATTCTTTGATGTCAATATGCCCTAATGGATTAAGGTTTCTTTTTTTGTTTGCTTGCAGCTCAGTCGTCGGCGTGGAATCAGACATCCAGTAATACCACAGGTAAGAACAGTCTTTGATTTTAGTTTTATTCTCTAAGTGCACCACATATCTCTTACGAATTTTGTAACGGATAAGACAGCGTTTTGTTCGGTTTTTTGTTTTGCACCAGCCATCTGCTGTGATGACTCAAAGCCCCAGCAAGAACTGTAAAGATGGAAATGAATAAAAATGCAGATTTAAAGATGTGGTTAGGTTTCAAATGTGCTTGGCTTGAGAAATGGACATGCAGATAAGGTCGTCATCAGGTCTCACTTATTTAGGGTCACAGTTTTAGTGCTTTGTGGGAATTCTTGAGCAAAGATCACTGGGATTGAAAGTCCCAAGTACTATATTTATACTTCAGTGAGCTCATAATTGGTAGGAGTTGGGGTTTGTATTTCTCCCAAGCCTTTGTTATTAACTCTGTTACAGTGAAAGGAGACAAACGTGCTGGAGTCAGCATGAACCTGCACTGGAAATAAAAGAGCCATTTTGAAATTGAGCCAAAGAAATCATTTTGAATATCCATCTTCTGAAAAGGCCTGTCAATGGGCATTGTGTGGAGGTGGTGACTGGAGTGTGTAATAGGGCTCCTTTAACATTCTTCCTTTCCGTCTGCATCCCTTGTGGGTCTTGTAGACATTGACTGGACTTGATTTGTTTCTCAGATAAATGCATACAGTACAGTGGGTTCATGGACTTATCCCACAAAAATAATGAAAACAAGAAGAATCTAATCCATTTGGAATATAATGAAATCCTTACAACAGGCTCAGCTGGAACAAGCACAGAGGAGTTAAAACGGGCTCTGCATGTCAATTCCTCATCTATTGAATCTCCCAGACACTTTACTTTCTGTTATTTTATTATTTTTTTCAGACGCCACTTGCAAATACTTTTTGACTGAATGTAAATCCTTTCTAACACCAGAAAAGATGTTGCAGTAACCCTGGCATCCTGATATTCAGGCAGGCCTGCTAGCGTCTGTGAAAATGTTGCGGTGTGTTCTTGTGAGAGACTTTAGGAGCCAGTTTAAAGCCTATCGGATGAGTTCTGACATCCTTATGTTGATAACCTGCTGCGTTTTTTCACTTTGCCATTAAAAATTGATGCTAAGGTGTCTTGTCCCTCTTGAGCCTGTTTTGTGAAAACTGCTAAAGAATCTTTCACGGCCAGTTGCTCACCGAGATAACAGGAAATACCTTGACCGAAGGCAAAACTGTAATGGATGCCTTTGATTCTGACAAGAAAAAGCAACTCGCACTGAGTAGGGAGCATTTGTACACAAGAAGACTATTAACTTGTGTTCACAGTGACCTTACGTGATGGAACTGCCTGTTCGGTTTACTTTCACTTTCTTCTGAAAACCTCTTCCTTTACTGAGTAAACATTGAATAAGCACAGAATTTTCTTTGCTGTCTCAGGCTACCTTTCCATTCACTGCTCCACTCCTGCTCAGGAATCGCAGAATTGACAGTGTCCGAAGGGTTGCAGGAAAAACCAGAACAGCATTAGCTTTAACACATCGAACACGAAAAGCCATAACATTTCCAATTGCTGCTGGAACGCTGCGCAATATTTTTACAACACGTACTACAAGGGAACTACCATATCTGATCCTGTCACACATGTAGACAGTGTTGCAGCCACGTTACGGAAACAATACATTTATGGTGTACGCCTGTTGATGGAAGATTTTACTTGGGGATGTTTTAGACACGCTGCTAAGATGTTAGCATGTTACAAAATACCGAGCTGACGAGTGAACTGCACTGTGTTAAGGTTTCCTTTTGTCTATGACAAGATTGTAAAGAATGTTTCAGCTTCTCCTGGGTGTCCCCAGGCGCCCCTTTGCAACAGCACAATGTTCCGTACTGTGTTACTGCTTGTTAGGGAAGTTTCCACGGTGTTATTTGGGAGGCTGGATCCTGCCTGCCCAATGGGAGAAGCTGAAGCACGTGTCAGGATGGGTGAGATTGATCAGCAGGAGCCTTTCGGATGAGCTGTTCAGTACCCAGAATGGCACGAGAGGCTCCCTTAGTTTTCTCAAGCCAGCATTTAACACACTGCTGCACCTCCTGTAAGGGAGAACAGAAGCACGTTCTTGAGAAGTCTGATAAATTCAAGAACATACTTGATTATAAAACGTGTAAATAAATAGGGTACTAAATGGAGCTATAGGTTAAAAAAAACCCAGAGATAACTCCTGTATCTCAGAATCCATAACTACAAGTCACTGCTTCTTTGTTTACATTTATTCTCCATTCTGAAAGTTTATTAATCAATAGGTAAAGCAATCAATTAGCACTTGGAGGTGCTGTCTGAGCATGAACAATCCCCAGTGAGCTCCTGATTTTGTGCCTTATAAAGGAGATTTTCACAAGTGTAGCACACAGTGGGGTTGTTACTTTGCCTGCTAAAAAGGTCAGGAGCCTTTCTGATCAGCTGTTCGGTATCCAGAATGGGAGGAGTGGCTCTCTTAATTATTTTTTGCCTGCTAATAAACAACAAAAACAATTGATCTCTTTGAAAGCTATGATTTATAAATCTCAGTGATCTGAGTTTGTCCCCCCACATAGAAGTCATCTCGCTGTCTTCTGCAGATAAACTCTTCACATTTTGTATAGTACTTAATCCATCCAACCATTTCATACAATTCAGAGCCAGAGCCAGAGCCTATCTCAGCAATCAATGGGTGCACAGCAGGGTACACTCTGGATGGGATGCCTGTCCATCGCAGGGCAGTATTTCTTCATATTCCTTAATCCAACCCCGGGTTTGATTCCTCACTGGGGTTCCTCCTGTGTGGAGTTGGTTCTGCAAGGGTGTAGACATCATGCTGGCTTGGTCAGGTGGCATCTCTGTGTCCTGTGAGGGACTGGAATGCCATCCAGAGTGTACTCTCACCTTCTGCGCTTTGCTTCCAGAATGGCCCCCAGGCTGTTGCGACCCCCCAGCAGGTTTAAGTGGTCTTCTGATAATGGATGGGTATTACAGCTCACAATAAATTATACTGATGGAAAAAAGAAACACAACACCTCCTCCTCCTCCACACTCTGGCTCTCCTGTCTGCATGGAGCAGGCTGAAGAGCGACTCATCTGTGAAGAGGACCTGATGCCACTGCTGACGAGTCCATCGCAGCCTCTGTCTGGCCCAAGCCAGTCGGGTGTGATGTCTTGGAAGTGTGAGCAGAGGGCCTGTGACAGGTCTTGCTCTAAGGCCAGCAGCATGGAGCCTCACTGTCCTGTCACTGGTGCGGGCATTGTGCCTGCCGGCAGTTTCAGCAGCAGTACAGGTGGCAGACCTGAAATGATCTCTCAGATGAACCAGTCTGTGTCGGTCCTGGTGTGGTCACTCGAGGGCGATCGGATCTTGGACGGTCATCTGTCCTGCTGGTCTGCTGAAACCTTCTCTGCAGTCGGGACACAGTGGAGCAGCTCACTCCATAGTGTCTGGCAACGCTGGCACATGACATGCCTGCCTGCAGCATACCAATGGCGCTCTCCCTTGCTTCTGGTGCCATTCGAGGCACAGAAAACTGACTAAGTGTGGCCTTTTTCTTACAGTGATTTAAGCTTTGAATTAAGGCCTTTTTAAAGTTGACCTGATCAGGCACTGTTCCACCTGGACCTCGTTGGGTAAAAGTGTACCCAACGAGCTTTTGTGTGATTGGCAAGTTCCAGTGCCTCATTGCACAAGCTGTATTGCTAGTCAGAGGACTTAAAACAAATTGACAACTTTTTGTGAAAGTACATAAGCTATATCTATAATATAATCATTCCAGAAAATGTTGTGTTTCTTTTTTCCATCAGTATATATTAAAATTATGGTGATAATAGAGTAGTTTACATACACTACTGATTAATTTGAAAATGAAGCTGATGATTAGAGTAGCTGATAACTTGATTCAAGATTTATACAAAGTAGAAACAAGGGACAGTCTCTTTAACCATTCTCTTCCATTCTGTTTCTCCAGGTGTATTCTGCAATATGTCTATAGACGGAATAGGGACCTGCTGGCCAAAAAGCAGTGCAGGAGAAGTGGTTACCAGGCCTTGTCCAGAATACTTCTATGGAGTGAGATACAACACCACAAGTAAGAGCCCCAAGCAGGATATCTAGACAAAGGATGCTCTAAAGTTGTGCTGCAGCTGAGCAGCGTTGGTGAACAATTACAGGAACTGCACTTTAGCTGATACATGGAGTGAATGCAGCCCAGTAAACAAAACTATTTTCTTACACCTTTGCTATATTCTAGGGTATTCAGTCTGTCAGGGCTTGAACTTTCAGCTACTGTCCATTCCAGTGGATATTAAGGCTACTTAAGTCCCATAATTCTTTGTATCTAAAATGAAAACCTACTGTAGTTGTGCTATGTCAAAGGATTCTGATTTGATGATGCACTTTCTCTAAAAAAAATTATGGGATTATTGGACATGACTGGAAAATAAGTAAAATGAATTGACCTTATCTTCTAGTATAAATTAGATCTAATTTAATTTGTAAATCTTAAACTGTGACCTTTCCTATTGAAGCTGAGATGAAGTATCTTTTGCCGAATCAGCAGATCTGCCTGCAGCTGGATTAGACCAGTCCCTGCTTTTCTTTGGAAGTCTTGTGAGGACTTCAGCAAATTCGCCATCATCACCAGAAAGTGGATTTACATAAATGAAAAAAGCTACAGGAGAGGGTCTCACATTTTAAATTAGTTGTTTTTTACAGCAACGCAGCAGAGCAAGTGAGCCTCAGCTTCATGGTCTGTGCCAACAGTTAGTATATTCCCTTCTAAGAATATTTTCCTTAAAGATCCTTAAGGTTTTCCAGGGATCCCTGGTTGATCCCAGAGCCCATCAGTGAATTTGTCTTGCGCACGAAATGAAGAAATGCCATTTGCAAAGTGAACAAAACATTCGACAACCTGACAAAGCACTGACCTACTTCAACGGTTCAAAAACCGTTGAAGTAGGTCAGTGCTTTAAGTCTAAGATATATCTGAACTATAGGATGAAACAGAGAGAATGATCTTAATTTCATGGTAAAAGACTACAGGAAAACATTCCATACTTTGAGTTTACTTAAAATACCTATGTTTGATGGGACAAAGTAGTTTTCCTTACATGTCCCTGCTTAATTTGTGTTTTTAGTGATTTTCCTTCCAAAACAAAATCTGGCATATCTTGCGCCCCCAGAAAGAGTATCTCATACCTCCATGTGGTGCTTGCACCCCCAAGTTAAGAACTTTTATCCCGCAGAAGCCTATTTAACCCACAATAAAGCTTGAGAGTTGTGAACGCAGATCTATTTAAACCAAGTCCATGCCTGGCCTGCTAGGGTGCCTCTCTGTTCGCTGAATGCTTTATTACGTGTAATATCACTTCAAAACATCTGGCTTTCCAGTTCCTTGATACAGGTGTGTCTCTGGCACTGATCTCACATGTATATCTACATTTAGATCAAATAGGAAGAACACACACTGCAAATAAGTAGCACACAGTGAACTACGCTGCCTTGGGTTTGTTCACATGTCCATCTTGGTGTTCATATGCACGCATTGTTAGAATACCTCTTGGAGCTTTGAGACTTTCTATGGATGTTCATAACGCAGGTAGTGTCTGTACCTTTTAAATCTCTGTGGTAGCTTGCTCCCTTACTGCAATGCCACGCCTTGTGTATGGATTCAGGAATACCTGGATCTCATTTGGTTCTTTAGCAGGTTAGAAACTGAATTGGTCATGCATACTGTATATATTTCTAGAATTCTGTACCAAGCCACTCTAACACTGGGGCATTTCATAGAGACACAAGAACAGTCACAGTCCACCCGCCTCATTTCCTTTCTTTGACAATGTGTTCAATTTTAAAAAGCTTAGTTTGATCAATCCAGGACGAATCAATCCAACACTTCTCCTGTCTGCCCCCTGTGGTTTCCCAATTCTTAAATTACTCCCCTGCTGTGTTGATTTTTTTCAGTCTCATTTTTCCCCAGTCACCTTTCAGTCAGAGGAAAATGGTGTGTGCAGAATAGTTTTGAGGAGTAGCATTTTGATCTGGACACTTTTTTCTTTATTTTGGTCTTTTTCCTTACAATATTTTAGCAACATGTCTGAAGTCTCAGAATGAAACAAATACTGAAATTGTCATAAATATTCAGCACAGTCAAACACCATCCCAGTCCGGAAATACAGCCATTAAGATATGTAGTGATCATAGATACATTAGCATTTGTGAAAGTGCTGTAATGTTTCAAAACAGTGTTAATGAATATTTATCACAGAGTGATTCACATCTTTCTCTGTACTTGGTGGCTGTTAGGAATGACAGTAAATGAACTGTAGATGGACATTTTTAAGCTGTTTGTGAGCTTCCGTTGGTAGTCTGAGAGATACAGATACACACTGCTTCTCAAAGGGGATGTGAATGTATTACATTCTTATAGGAGATTAGGTGATTGATGCTTGTAAAGCACGATTTCAGTCTCTTTCGAGTCTCATCCAGACTTATGTTTTGCAAATTCCGAGATGGGTTCAGTCGGAAATGGTAAATAGTAAAGCCTTTCCTATTTCTAATCATTTGTGCTTAGAAAAAGTGTGCTTCAAGCTGTGTGACAGGGTCTAATTTGATTTTGTCATATGACCTGTTTGTCATGAACCATACAATTTAGAATTAATGGGAAGCAACACAATACAATTGACGGGATATTTCCCATGCAATCCTGGCATCTTAACTTGACATTTAATGGTGATCAGGAGGATGATGCATTAAAACAATTAAAAAATAAATGATTACGTGTTTCCCCTGATCAATGGACTGGTGACTGAAGAGATTTCTTGATCTTGATGAATTCAGCTTCACCTTCATCTGTTACTCCCAGTAACAGCTCTTCTGTGTTAACTTTCCTTCTGGCTTCAATAAATCTTATTTAAAGACCCAGTGATTTAAACAAAGACTTCATTATTGACACTGGGAATGCCTGGCAACAAGAATGACTGATCTAATAGGTTTAAGCTCTCCTTCCTTGTTGGAAGCTCCTGCAGTTGCAGTCACAACCCTTGGAAAGTAACTGGAGATAAGAGCAACATCCTGCTCGTTGCTCTTAATTAAGCATGGCTTTGTTCCTTAAAAGCGCTGACAGCAAAGTCACGCAAGGTGTTACCCTACACATTCATCTCATCTTCTCTAAGACTTTTTCCTTTCCCTGTGAGCTTTTTGGCATGTACAGAAGCAGCAACTCATGAGGAATAACAGCACCCCTGAAATAAGGGTGCAACTGAAAATGTTTGTCGAGTGCGTACTGTAGGCATGAGATTTAGCTAAAATGGGCCTGTCTGAAGGACAAGACAAAATGCAAAACGCAAGATGACTACTTATGGTATACATAGATCGGGATGTTGAGAATGATACTGCTTTAGAGCAGCTGGGGTAAAAGTGACTAGGTATTACAAGACACGTGTGGACCCAGGAAACAAAACCACAGGAAAAGCTTAATGATATGAACTTTATGGCTCGTCCTGCCACTTGAGATGGGCTTTCCTAGCCTGGCTGACCCCTCTGCCACAGCCTTAGAAGATCCTGTGGGGATGTCACAGAAGATTAGTCTCAGACTGGAAAAAACCCAACAGGCAATATTGACCTTGCATTATATCAGAAGTGAACAGACACCACCTGACACGTGTTTATTTTTATCTGGTAGACATGCATTTAGCATTCAGTACATTGCATCCTTTGCATTGAGCAGATGATTTAAAAATACCACTTAAAACTTTATTTAGGCCTGTCAGTCTGGTCTGCTTAACCTCCCACCAGACCAAACTGCTTGTGCAACACTAGAGTTTTTTTTTTATAATACAGATTTACATCATTTTACAAGGATGTCAAAACAAGCACTGCACAAGGTGATGCATGAGTATCCTTTAGCCAATAGTTATATGTTACCGTCAGACACTGTAAGGAATTAGTCAAATCATTTCTTTAAATATATTTTCAGTTTAAACTGTCAGAAGCCTTATGTCACTGGCAGAGATGAGTTGCATTATCTTTCCCCAACCAAAGAGAAATAGCATTGAATAGTGTACCTTTCCCTGCAATGGGACATTACAATGAACAGTACTACTCTTGCAAGATTAGAACTTAATACTATAGATCCACTCAAGAAAGGCTTAATTAACAATTAAACTGCTTAAACAACTTAAACTGAGACTTGAAATTGAACTCCAGGGAGGTAGAGGGGCATGGATAACAAACCATGATGTTTAAAAAGTTACAGGTTTTGTATGCACCTATAGCAATTCTTCCTGAGATTTTCAATTATGCCAATACAGAATGCATTCTGTGATTGTACTGCTCTATTTTCCAGTAAGATTAGGTGTAAAATGGCTGCATGACATGACAGCTGAGCAATCAAATGACAGAAACAGTCTCTTACACACAAGGAGCTGAAGAAACAGGGCATATGAGGTGTGTGGTGTTGCTCATCTCATATGAGAAAAGAAAAAAATAATAAAGGAGGCTTTTCTTGAAGCATTAGACAAACGGTATTGTGTCGTATTGAGTTCATTTCTCACTAAGCACACAGAGAAGTGACAGAATCTGTACTGTATATAAAGATATACCTGCTTGCATTGTGATTTTAGACAGAAAACAATAATAACCTGCTACAGGAACATTTGAACAGGCACCTTACAAGTACACTCTCCAGCTTGATTTACTGTATATTTTGCTCCATTATTAAATCAGTCTAAGCCAGCTTCAAATGGCATCACATTTATAAAGGGAGATTATCTTCAACTACAATAGGTGTAAGAGCAAAACAATAATGGCAGTCTCAGACACGCAGGTACAAAGCTATGATTCATTTCTCCTTGTTTTATGATTATATTCTATCCTGTATTAAAAAAAGAGTCTATCCTCATGAAGTCATGTAAATCTGTGTTCCCTGTGACTGTGTACTCTCACATGGCATGCAACAACCCATTTGGACATGGTACATGCACATGGCTTAAAATGAAGCCAAAATAAAAATAGTACTCTTACCTGCAACCAGGTGACCTTCATGTCCAGATGCAAACAGCAAGGTGAAAGACTTGCACATATTTGTGA